TTTTGGTTTCGAATTTTTTAATTAATTTGATTGGTTGATCGCATGATCTGCATACAAGTTTAATCGACCAATGAGAGGATTTTTAACTATGCTTATCTTTTCAGACTTTACGGTATGTCATAAAATAAGTTAAAAATAGAAATGATGTAATGATCCATATGTGTAACGTGACGCAACCATTACAATAAATATAGAAAGCTGATCGTTAATCGTGATGTAATATTTAGAGCATCACATGACTTCCGTAGTAAGTTCGTTCTAATTGGTCAATATTAACGGGAAATTGATTGGTCCACGGTTTACAATCTCACACTATTCTTAATCAGTGTTTGTATATTGTTTAATTAGCATTCACTTAGTGTTTCTATATGTTCACTTATATGTTTGACTTTAAAGTTGTAATAACTCTAGCAAGAATAAAATAATTTTTATGGTTTGTATATTAAATTAAAACTCAGAATCTTGAGAAGCCAAAGATATAAAATTTGTACAATTTTATTTATTTTTTATTTGTTTTTAATATGTGGCTTACTTTTTTAACCGGGTAAAATCAAAATTAGTCATTGTAGATCATTGTAGATTCGTGTTACATATACTCTACCCTTAAAAAGTTTAGATTGTAGTGATAATGAATTGACTAATTTGGATATTAGTGAAAATTTTAAGTATCTTGATGCTTCCAATAATTAAATAGAAGAACCTGATTTTTTAGAAGGAAGTGAATTAGAAACTATTATCCTTAATCACAATCAACTAACTTATTTTGATAATTATGAATCTTTGAATGATTCTTTAAAATTTCTTTCTTTAACAGCTAACAAATTGGGTAATAAAATACCTGGCTATGATAGTTATGTGGGTTATTTAGATGTAAATGGTTACAAAGAATTAGAGTATTTAAATTGCACTATTGGTAGAATAAGAGAAATAGATTTATCTAATAACTCAAAATTAAATCAATTAATTTGTTACAACAATATCTAAAGACATTGGAGGTTAATCATTTAAACAAATTAGAATATTTATTTTGTCAAGGTAATGGTTTAGAATATTTAGATTGTCATGATTTAAAGAAACTAAAAGAATTAAATTGTTCTATTAATTCTTTGAAATGAGACTTTTTAAATCTTTCTGGTTGTGATAGTTTAGAAATTTTAGATTGTGCTGAGAATAGTATTGAGGAATTAGACATTAGTAATCTTCAAAATCTGACATTTATATCTGCCAGTGTTGAAAATTCAGTGGGAGGGTGTAGCATTACACCATAATTATGTGTGCATGAAATAAGGATACCGGCTGCAACTTTTGATGATGGTTGCTACCATCTTTGCGTCATATAAAAATGATTGCAACCACTGGTTGCAACCACCTTTACGACCATTTTGTTTCCTTTTTTGGATTGCGACATGGAACACTAGCATGAAATAAATTAATTAAAATTAAAATTTGTCACACATGCAATTAAAAATTGTTAATTTGTTTAATTTTTTTCAAATATATTAAAATGTCCAACCAACCAATGGAAGTTGAAATCATTAATTTTTCAGATGATGAATTAAATAATGGTGATCAAACTAGAATCCAAAAATATAGAACCTAAAGAATCACATATTAGGAAAACTGCTGTCCTTAAGTGGTTTGATGATTATCCATGGTTGAGAACTGAATATGTTAATGGAAATACATTGTTATATTGTAGAATTTGTAGAGAATGCAATGGAATAACAACATTTGCAAAAGGCACACCTTTGTTAAGAATAGATAAAATTAGAGATCATACAAGAACCTCTGAACATAAAAAATCTGAAGAATCACTTAAACCAAATGCTACAAGACAATTAAGCACAGAGAAATTAGAAATTATTTCTTTGATGAGAACTAGTTATTTCTGCTCAAAAAATAATATTTCATTGAACACTTACCCTGGCTTATGTAGTTTAATATCACTACAAATTGAAAATAGCAATGAATTAATAATTAGTGATAACACTTCTACTTTGAAACCTGCTTCTTTGGAAAAACCATCACCATCTAATTCAAAATATGGGAGCTATAACAATCATATATCTGGGTTTGATTTTTTAGATAGTATTGCTTATACAATTAAAAAATCTCTCTTTGAAGAATTAAATTCCTCAGTTTATTGGAGCATAATGATTGATGAAACCAATAGTGTTGATAATGATAAATATTTAGCAATAGTAGGAAAATATATCATCAATAACATACCATACATGAGATATTTAGGTATGGTTAACCTAGACTCAACTGATGGTGAAAGCATATTTGATCAAATTAAGTCATTTTGTGCATCAAAGGGAATATCATATCACAATATTATTCATTTTGGAAGTGACGGTGCTTCTAACATGATTGGTATGAAATTGATGAAATCATTATTTAATTGTGCAAAAATTAATTTTTTTTAACTAATTCATTTTAATTATTAGGACACATGAGTGGTGTTCCAACAAGATTTAAAAAAATCAACCCATTCATGACTTCAAACCATTGTATATCACATAGCTGGAAAAGAGGTTCTGGTATGTTTCCCTGACAACCATTTCCCCAACAGGACATTTCCCCAACACTGTTTCCCCAACAGGACATTTCTCTGACAAATTTTTTCACTGACTATAACATGCAAGGTTAGAATTGATAATAAAATAATTGAATTTATTGATTGCGCATTT